TAAAACGTCTAACTCTACTAGTAGCATCACAATTTCACCTAAACCACCGACCACAAACTGAAACTGACAATAAACAATGAAAAATAACCTTATACAAACATGCTGGCTGCTGTGATGATCTCTTCAGTCCAACGCGACTTCTCGCGTTTCACTGTCTGATTGCGCATTTTTTTTGGCATGATGTCGTCGAGACTCCCATGATATTGCGCAATTTCGCTTTCGATGGACCGGTGATCGGTGGTTTCTTCTTGACTCCGTGCACCGACTGTTTAATGCAAAACGACTCTGCGGAAGTACCGAACTTGTTAATCGCACATGACGTTTAAGCGCGCATATAGCCACCCTCACCATACAGCTTCATCAATTGTTGGTAGGTTCGTTTGCACGTACCAAAACCCATATCCTTCAATGACTTAAATAGTCGCTGAAGTAGCTCGTCAACTGTCACAATCTGAATGTAAGTTTCTCGAACTCAAGATAAAGACCATAAACCAGCCAACGTAATGCCGCTGACTACAAAAAAAAGAGAACCATGCTCAATGATCAGCCAAGTGAACGGACGAAGCCCGATGTCACTGCGTGTCAATGGAAAATGCATAGGAAACCGGCGGCTTTTGCTGAAGACTCGAAAGAGGGTGCAACAACGTTTGATTGAAACCAGCGATATACGTCTACTTCTCTGGCGTAAATCGCGACAAGAGTTGAGTCGACTTCCAACAAGGATCAGCAGCTCACCTTGGCGAGCGTTTCATGTTTGCTTGGAGGAGACAGAAATTTGAAATTGTACGGATAGGAAGAGTGAGAGAGTACCGAAAGTGGTAGAGTTAAGGTGACGCAGAGGATTGATGTTGTTATTAATACGATGTGGCCGGCATGGAAACGGCGAGTTAACAGTCTAGGCTGGAGGATGTTGTGGTTACTGGCAGGCTTGTCGGATAGAGCCGACGGAGCCGTGGCAAGAACTTGAGGCTGTTTCCCTTTCTCTCTCCTCCCTCCAGCATGCATCGTCCACTTGGCCCTCGCATTATCCCAAGAGATCCCTCTCCAAACACTTCATCGTCTAATAACTATGTTCTCCCAGAGACCCCTCCGCTCACCATCCGCAAGGCAAGAGATACAACATCATCTAATATTACCCCATCCCCGTCCCCGTCCCTCATGCCTGCACCCATGCCTGCTCCTCGTTCCTCCAGACCTTCAACCCCTTCCCTCTCTCTCCATATCCCAGGCTCAACGAGTGCACCAGCAGCGACACCGCGCATGGCTCTCAGCCTACAGATACCCGCCTCAAACGGCTCTTCCTCGTCGAATCACTACAATAATACTAACAGCGACTCGCCCACATTCAACGGCGCGTATGGCGGCGGGTACTACAGCGGTGGCCCAGTCATATCCCAAACCCCGATGAGCGGGGATGGGCCCGATCAGAAGACCATCGTGCCGCAGCAGGACTCATCGGGCTCACACACAACCACAACGGCCACCAGCGGCGGGTCCTCCCGTTCATTTGATATGGCCAGCCTCAAGCAGACTCTCGCACACGTGCAGACATGCCCGCCATCAGGTGCCCCGCCCGTCCCCGACCAGATCGAAGAAGTCCGCCAACCCGTACCTGGTAGCGAAGAGAAGTGGTCAGATGAGTTCCTTGAGGAGTTAGCCCGCCTTGGCGAGGGCAATGGCGGCGCAGTGCATAAAGTAAAAGACAAACGCACAAACCTTATCATGGCACGCAAGACCATCACAACCCGCGAAACTCCCCCAAGGCAGCTCCTCCGAGAAATCTCCTTCATGTCCAATACCGTGCACATCAACATTTGCCATTTCTATGGCGCCTATATATCCCCGTCTTCGAGCGAGGTCAAGGTCCTCATGGAGATTTGCGATGGAGGCAGCTTGGAAGCTATTGGTAAAAAGATCAAGGAGTTGGGGAAACGCGTCCATGAGAAGGTCGCTGGTCGGTTGGCCGAGGGCGTCAGTTTCCCCACACTGGTCTAGCAAAATCGTATGCTGATTGTTTGCCTCAGATCTTCCAAGGATTAGCCTACCTCCATTCCAAGAAAATCATACATCGCGACATCAAGCCATCCAATATCCTGCTCTCAAGACAAGGCGTCGTCAAATTATGCGACTTTGGCGTCTCGGGCGAGCTCGTCGACTCGATGGCCGGTACATTCACCGGAACCAGTTATTACATGTCTGTGCGTGTCGCGTTACATCATCACTCGATGTTACCCATTATCAAACTATCTTTGTGTTGCTTTATTTTAGCCCGAACGCATGAGCGGGCAGGGGTACACAATCCGCGCCGACGTGTGGTCAGCTGGATTATCGCTCTTAGAGCTCGTGCAGAACAAGTTCCCGTTCCCAACGGATCTGGGACCGATCGATTTGATCATGTATCTCTCAGAAGCTGATGTAAGTGAAATGTTTGAAGTGGTATCCCCATAAACCATGTTCATGAGCGCGTTTTTGTAGCCGCCGGAACTGGAGGATGAGTATGAAGGACAATGGAGTGATGGGATGAAGAACTTCATCAAGACATCGTACGCCACCCAGCCCTCTTCCCCATTTTTACGCACATATCTAATATCCTGGCTGTCTGCAGACTGATCCTAACACCAAACGAACGGCCACCACCGCGCGAAATGCTCGCCCACCCATGGATCGTCGACATCATGAAGAAAGAGGTCAACATGGCGCGGTGGATCCGGGAGGTGTGGGGATGGCCAAAGCCAGTGCGCAAGTCGCGAGATGGGTATGTCATGATCCCCATTCCAGTTCAAGTTCAAGTTCCCCCAGCCGTTTCTGTTCCTGCTTCTGTTCAAATTCAAAACACCTACACAACCCCTCATCCATCCAATCCACAATCATTTCCTTTGAGACGCGCGAGTGCTCCCTCCACTCCCCCCTCTTCCCCTCCATCATCCATACGCCGCCCCCGCCAACCTCCTCTTCCCTCTCGTTCCGCTACTGTACGCCGACCTCCTCCGCCACCTCCACCTCCTGTACGCACCCCCACACTTCCCTCGCGGCGTCGCTCTCCACCCCCGCCACCTCCCACCCGCTCATTTCTTTCAGCGACCCGCCCACCTCCCCCTCCGCCCCCTCCCGATCGTTCCCCCATTACTCCAATCGCAGTGAGACGCGGGTTCGCATTCCGCTAAAGCATCCTTACCTTTTTCTTGTTTCTCCCGTCAAAACATTATTTTTTCTTTGCTTTTGTTCTTTTGCTTCGATTTCTTTTGGTTAATTGCAATTTTGCGATTTTTTTTTGGGACTGACTGAATGATGAATGTTGACCACTTGTTGTTCTTCTATAACAGTACCTCGCGGCCTAACTCGAGCCGCCAGGATACTGCAACTGAGGGGTCGCCCATTACGGATGAGTCACCACCTC